TCTCTTTCTATCGCTCTTCTCTCCTTCCACCCTCTGCTTCTCTTTCTATCGCTTTCTCTCCCTCCACCCTCTACTTCTCTTGCTGTCGCTCTTCTCTCCCTCTACCCTCTACCTCTCTCCCTATCGCTCTTCTCTCCCCTCTACTTCTCTTGCTGTCGCTCTTCTCTCCCTCACTCTCGCTCCACCTTCTATCTCTCTTTCTATCGCTCTTCTCTCCTTCCATCCTCTGCTTCTCTTTCTATCGCTTTCTCTCCCTCCACCCTCTACTTCTCTTGCTGTCGCTCTTCTCTCCCTCCACCCTCTACTCTTTCTACCGCTTTCTCTCCCTCGCTCTCTCCACCCTCCGTCTCTGCCTCTCGCCCCTTCGCCTCACGCAGTCTGGGACAAAGCAAACTACTGGATTGGCGCCACGAACGTTGGCCACGGGAGCGTCTTCCGCTGGCACGACGGCTCGAAGGTCAAGATGGGCACGCCGTTCTGGGGCATCCACCGTGGAGGGCAGGAACCCAACGGCAACTTGGAAACGTGTGTGTTTATGGACAAGAGCAACTTCATGTACTTGGCGGACGCACTTTGCTCTGATAATTTCGGGGTGCTTTGCGAACTTCCAGGGTAATGAGTCTTAATTCTGTGGAAAACATTGTAGAAATAAAGTAATTGTATCCTATGCCCTTGTAAACATCCCCAGCTGTTTGAAGGTACCCTCAGGGCAAATGACCTTGTTCACCCTTACCTCTAGGTATCAGTCGTTAGGGAAGAGATAAATCCCGCTTAAAAAAAAAAATGATTTCCTTTTATCTTATCTGCTCAACTGCAAATGTGAATAAAAAAAATTCCTCCATGTAATTTTTATATAACCTTTCTTTTACATTCAACACCCATATTTTCGTGTTTCATTTTTGCACAATCAAGGTGTATGAATCAAAAAAAAAAAAAATAGTTAAGAGCCTGTCAGACAACGCCTCGCATTTCCCCTTCACTCCAAAGGCCTGACCTGATGTGCAGAGGTCACACAGAATTCCCAGACACTTCCCGGGCATCTCTCTCGTCCTGCAGAGCCAACCATGAGCACAGGCGATGCTCCCTTAAGCCAGGGGTCAAAGGACGGAAGACTGCAACGGGACGCTGACCTTTCATTTTGGTCGGACGAAGGCCCCGATTTTGAGGATTAATTCAGTGAGGGAATTTTGTGTTTTATCGGCTCACTGTAGAACACCAAGGTCTCGAAGCAATGTACAGAAGGGTGTTGTTTGTCTTCAGATATTTGATTTTACAAATGTAAAACTTATGTGTATACACACACACACACACACACACACACATACATACATACATATATATATATATATATATATATATATATATATATATATATATATATATATATATATATAATATGTTGTGTGTGTGTGTGTGTGTGTGTGTGTGTGTGTGTGTGTGTGTGTGTGTGTGTGTGTGTGTGTGTATGTGTATGTGTATGTGTGTGCATATATATACATATAAATATATATATATATACATATACATATATCTTGATTTTTCCCAGACTCTTCACAGGGGACAAACATGCTATAGGAACTTTCCCTGGCATTGAACATCGCATTCACACTGATGCCAATGTTCCAGCTTTTTGTACGCCAGTGGAGACTGCCGCAGAGCACGAAGGATTAATTCAGTGAGGAATTTTGTGTTTTATCGGCTCGCTGTAAGAACACCAAGGTCTCGAAGCAATGTACAGAAGGGTGTTGTTTGTCTTCAGATATTTGATTTTACAAATGTAAAACATGTGTATACACACACACACACACAACACAAATGTATACATATACTTATATATATATATATATATATATATATATATATATATATATATATATATATATATATATATATATATATATATGTATGTGTGTGTGTGTGTGTGTGTGTGTGTGTGTGCGTGTGTGTGTGTTTGTGTGTGTGTGTGTATACATATATATACATATAAATATATATTATATATATACATATACATATATATCATATATATACATATATGTATACAAACATGCATCAATCTATTTATATATATATATATATATATAATATATATATATATATAAATATAATATGATATATATATATTATATATATATATATATATATATATATCAATCATCATCTGGGGCTAACGCCGACGGGGGCGCACAGCCGCATTCACCCTTCGATTCCACCCTTTGGCGTCCCTCATGGCAAGCCGCCAGGCAGGGACTCGGCCCATCTCGAGCTCCTCACGACAGGTTTGATCGATCGATCATATATATATTTGTAAATATATATATGTATATATATTAGTTTATGTGTTATATATATATATATAATATATATATCTATATCTATCTATCTATCTATATATGGTAATTTTCTATATTACCTTCGCCACACCGATATCGACGATTTTGGTATCGTTGGATTCCTCTCACTGTCCACATTCCAAATATGTAGGTTTTTTGCGCGGAAA